ACACACACACTCTCTCACACACACACTCTCTCACACACACACTCTCAGATTGTGAGTATCGCCTCGTTCCATCTATTTGTTTTTTTGTGTTGTTCGCAAACCCGGCGATAATTTATCCACTTCCCTCATCTGAGTCACAGAGCCGTGCAGCACGGAAACAGGCCCTTCGGCCCAACCCACCTGTGCCGACCTAGATATCCTAAATTGATATAGTCCCATTTGCCAGCATTTGGCCCCTATCCCTCTAAACCCTTCCTATCCATGTCCCCATCCAGATGCCTTTTAAATGTTGTCATTGTACCAGCCCCCACCCACTTCCTCTGGCAGCTTGTTCCATACACGCACCACTCTCTGCGTGAAAAAGTTGCCCCTCAGGTCCCTTTCCCCCTCCCACCTTAAACCTATGCCCCTCTAGTTTTGGACTCCCCCATCCCTGGGGGAAAAGACCTCGGCTATTCACCCTATCCATGCCCCTCATGATTTTATAAACGTTTATAAGGTCACCCCCTCAGCCTCCGACGCTCTGGGGAAAATAGCCCCAGTTTCTCCCTGTAGCTCAAACCCTCCAACATCCTTTTCCGAACCCTTTCCCAACATCCTTCCTGTAGCAGGGAGACCGGGATTAAATGCAGTATTCCAAAAGTGGCCTCACCAATACAGCCGCAACGTGACCCTCCCAACTCCTACACTCAACGCAGCGACCAATAAAGGCAAGCGTCCCAAACCCCTTCTTCACCGCCCTGTCTACCTGCGGCTCCACTTTCAAGGAGCTATGTACCTGCTCCCCCCAAGGTCTCTTTGTTCAGCAACACTCCTCAGGATCTTACCATTAAGGTGTCTAAGTCCTGCCCTGATGTGCCTTTCCCAAAATGCAGCCCCTCACGTTTATCTAAATTAAACTCCATCTGCCCCTCCTCGGCCCATCTGATCCAGGTCCCGTTGTACTCCGAGGTAACCCCCTTCGCTGTCCTCTACACCCCCAATGTTGGTGTCATCTGCAAACTTACTAACCATCCCTCCTAACGTTCACATCCACATTGTTTACGTAAATGGCAAAGATGTTTACCCCAGTTTGCCAAACAGCCACGTACCGTATAGGATATAAACTAATGTGGTTTCAGTAAGCCACAAAAACACGCCCCTGTTCTTCAGTCAGCCCAGGGCAGAACTTACAGGAGAGCTCCCATTATGTCCTGGCTGGCTATCTAACCAGACCTCACACTGTCTTGACCGAAACTCCCAGCATGCCGAGCTCTCCCCCCCCCCCCCCCACACCCTTTCACCAGTCTCGTAGCCAGTTTTCTCCTTGACCCACCTGACCGCCGGCGCCTTTCCTCAGTCCAAAATTACGCGACATCTGCTCT